TTATGGTGGATAAGATTGATAACCCCTAAATTATCTATCAAAGCTCATGGCTTAAGTTTCAATCTCTTTCTTCTCTGATGCCTTTTTAGTTTTCCTTCCTTTCAACTTGCTATTTTTAATAGCATTCTCAATTATTTTACCTGAGATCACCATGTTGATAAAATTTTTTGTTGCATTCCCTATCATTTTTTCATAATAAAGAGATTTCAAAGTATTGAAAAACAATACCGTAGTCTCTTTCTTAGTCAGAGGAGGCTACACTTGAGAAGCAATATCCCTCCACCTCTAGGCATACTCTTTAAATGATTCAGTTGCTTTTTTTTTTCATATTTTATAAAGACAGACGATCAGGGGCTAAGTCTATGATATACTGATATTGATTAATGAAGTCATGGGTCATATCACTCCAAGAACGAATGTGAGTCCTGTCCAACTGGACATACCACCTAGCAGCAGAGCCCATTAGGCTGTCTGAAATATATGCATTAATAACTTCTCATTATGAGCATAAGCTACCATCTTTCGATAGTACATGATAATGTAAATCTTTGAACACTTTGTACCGTTATATTTTTCAAACTTTGGCACTTTGAACTTTGGAAGAATAATCATATCTGAGACTAAACGAGCCCAGCTGCATCTACTAAACCATAAAAACCAACTCTTTTCATTGCTCGTAGCCTTTCCTCTAACAATTTCATCTTCTATTAAGCTTTTGAGGCTTCTAAAGTCTCATTCTTCTTAGGCCTTAACTTCTCTTTCTCTTATGGATTATCCAAATTAAGAATTGATATTAGTTCTACTGCTTTCTTGGTAAAGACACGATTTACATAACTCTAATACTATCCTAATTTGAAACTAATGGCATTCCAAAATATGTATACCCTACAGAGTATGTGAACTACTGTGGTGGTAGATCTTGTTCGGGTTAGGCTTGATGTGACCCAAAACCAAGATGGTACAGCAAGTCATCCATATCTTGTGATGGATGGTCTTGTTGGCTAGTACTTTCTTATATAACTTTTCCCTTGTTTACCTTGTTCAAAGCCTCCAAAATCCTATTTAACTCCCCTTCGAACTTCTCTCAGGCTTTCTCTATCCTCTCATGACAATTGAAATTTTTTTATTCCATCTATTTGGCTAGAACCCTTGTATTGTATTGGTAAGTTGATTATATGAGATTCTTGATTGGTGGAGCTATCTTTGAACCTTGAATACCATAATTATGATCAGAAATGTTATGCTTTATGCATGATATGTTGATGCATGAAATGCACCTTTTCATGGGTGAAATAAAAATGATGCAGATGTAGAATGTTACATATGATAATGAAAATAATGCATGATATGGTAATGCAAATGCTCAAAGTTAAACAAACAAAATAGTTAGATCATAAATTGTTCCTTCTTGTGTCTTAACTTTAGTTTATATCTATCACTGGGTAAAAAGGGCTCTATCCTAAGTTGATTCTCTTAAGTGTTGATTATATGTAAGGTTAGGTGACTTTGACCACTAAAGGTTCCTAAATTATTCCTTACATCATTGTCCATCATAGACTAGTAAGGTAGTCCAATCATCACCTATCACTGGCTACCAATAGAAAATATTCAATTTGAGTGAGAGTATTTCGTTAACCATTACGAAGATTATCATCTCACAATAGCGTAGGTACTTTACTCCCTCTAAAAAGGGATGAAGCTTGGGTATAGAGCTCATGTAATGTAAATGCATGTGATAGTGTGTGTGAAGGAACATATAGGTTTTATGCCCCAAATCAAATAAAAGTAAAAAAAAAAAAAACGTTAGTAAACAAATAATTACAATTTAAAACCATTAGATTACATGATAGGATAAATTTAAAAGTTTATGGCTTGACTCTCTATGGCTATCCCCAGCGAAGTCATCAAATTGTCATAACATATAAATCAGTAAATCTTTAACTAAACTTAATAAATGAAGTCGCCACCAATATTTTTACTAAGTGTGATTGGTCACTTGAGGAATCTATCCTTTTAAAAAGCTCTTAAACTTGACTAAAGGTTCCTAAAAGAATAGGTTCGGGTCTACAAACTAGAACATGGTTCGAAAGTTCAGTTACATGTGAAAAAGATTATAGCACCCCACATACCCATCCGAAAGATGGTACCATATTATTTCAATTTTATCCTAGGATCTTGGTTCTAATTGTTTCAAATTCTTATGTTCAAATATTAGAAATAATTCATAAGATTTTTCTATCAATCTAGTAGAATTCTTAAAATATTTTCTCACCTCAAGAGTATTCAAGGATCCCATTTGTTTCCTTGAAAAAGCTTCGTAATCGAAAAAAAGTTTATTTATTATTCTTTTTTTATCAAAAATATATCTAATTATTCCACAATTTGAACCAAATTAGAAATATTTTCTTTTTTGAAATTTCTAAATTTTTCATCATTTGGACCTATTTAGAAATTCTCTTTATTTATATATATTTTTTTGGATTTCTAAATTTTTCACCATTTGGGTTAATTTAGAAATTCTTTTTTTCTTATCTTTTTTTTTTGTTTTTGGAAAAAAAGTAATATGACAATTATTTGTATTGAAATTTTATTTAAATTCTTTCACCATTTAGGACAAATTTAAAGAAATTTCTCACCTAAAGATTTTTTAGAAAATTTACCATTTGAAATTTTTAAGAATCTCATTCTTGGATAATTGTCAAATATTTTCAACCAAAAAATTTTTATTTTTATGGGTTTTTTATTTTTTTTGTTTGAAAATAAATATTAATTAATTATTATTAAATTTCATCTAAATTATTCTACCATTTAGGACAAATTTAGACAAAATTTCTCACCTAAGAATTTTATAAAAATTTACCATTTGAAATTTCTATAAATTTCATCATTATATAATTAATACTTATTCTCAAAAAAATTTTATTTTTTATTTTTATATTTTTTCCAAATTTATTCATGGAAAAATACTCCTAAAAATAAATAAACACATAGTAAATAAAGAAAATACAAAAAAAACCAAAAAAATGGAACGGCTCAACTTCAGTGGCTCGACATGGCTCGACTTCAGGATCAAAAGACGACTTGGGGACTCGACGTGTGGGTCGACTCAACTAGAAGGCTCAGACGGTATGCGGGTCGAAGAAACGGGTTGACGTGCGGGTTGAATCGCCCGCTAAAAAACGTGCGGATCCTGGGGTTTATTAAGCTCCAAAACGACATCATTTTCAGAGGGTATATAAGCCCAAATCTTAGCTTTTCCTTTTAGAATTCCTCTTCCCCCTTTTATCTCCTCATTTTTTTTCTCTCCCCTTTTATCTACAAACCTAGATTTTTAGTTGAATGCTTTACCAAAAACTGAAGAATGTTGTCGAAAAATTCAAGTTTTGCCAGAAATTTTGTCGAAATCTGAAAATTTTTCTAGAAATTTTCTAAAAAAAAATCTTCAAAATTTTTTTTCAAACCAAAAAACCCTTTTATTTTTATCTTTCTCTGAATTTTCTTTTTTGTTTCTAATTTCCCCTAATCTATGTGTGATTTGTGTGCTTCTGATCCTATATTTATAATGTAAAATCAGAAGAATTTTCCCTTAACCTTGACTCTTTCTCTAAACTTTATCTTGTAGAGATTGAGTCCATTTACAATTCCACAAATCCCATTTGCGGTAGAACATTATCCCTTTTTTTTTAATGATTATTATTATCACTTAAAAACTAATGATAAATCTAAAAATAAATAAAAAACAGATAAATCAAAAAAATTGAAGATAAATAAGAAGCAAATGAATAATCAGCCCAAAAATAAAATAAATAAATTAGAAATAACTTAAAAAATGAAATTAAAAAAAAGGTTGATTGGGCATGATAACCTAGGCCCTATTGAGCCAAGCCCAATGGACTTGGACCCGGACCAATTAGGATATCTACAAAAATAATAAAAAAATATATTTTTAATAATAATATTAAAAAAGCCCATATGAAAAAATTTTAAATTATTTAATAATATTTATTAAATATAAAAATATAAAAGAGAAAAATTAAATAGAAAAAAAATAAAAAATTAAAAAAAAGGAATTAAATATAAAAAAAGAATTAAAAAGAAGGAATCCAATGACACGTGGTATACTATTGATATGAAGTAGCTCTCAAAACAATTAAAATCTAAAAAAATATTTATAAGATATGTGAAAAATTAGAAAAGAAAAAAAAAGTAAAAAAAATGCAAATATGTGGCATACCCATAGTATCAAATGAGTCTTAAAAAAATTTAAATCTCTGAAAAATATTAAAAATTAAAAAAAAAAAAGCCAAGTAAAAAATAAAAGCAAAAAAAAAAGATGTTTGGTATTAGTGGATCTCACACATAAAAAAGCAAAATTATTTTTAAAATATTTTTTGGTATTTTTTAAAAATTAGTTAAATATTGAAAAAAATAAATAAAGGAAAAAACCATTTTATGCGATTTTATGTTTTTACTGTTAACCTCTATTGCCCATTAACTTAGTTAAATGTTCATTTGGCAGATTATAAAAAACAGTGACCTTGAAGAGCTGCGAGAGCTGGTTTCTGGTACCTTTGGTACTGTTAACCGTGGGAAGTGACGTGTTACTGATATTGCAATAAAACGAATCAATGATAGATGTTTCGCTGGAAAACCTTCTGAGCAAGAACGCATGGTTTGGCTCTTTCTTTTCCTTTTGCAAGCTTCTATTTTCTCCATATTAGTTCCACTTTGTAATTTCACTTGCAAACAACTTGTTTTGTGGTAAATGCATATGATCAGATAGATGATTTCTGGAATGAGGCCATTAAGCTTGCTGTCATCCTAATGTTGTGGCTTTCTATGGTATTGTGCTCGATGGTCCTGGTGGCTCTGTGGCAACAGTGACTGAATACATGGTTAATGGTTCTTTAAGAAATGCTTTACAGAAGAATGAGAGGTACTAGTAATTCTAGTTTTGTTTTCTATACTGTCTAGTGTATTACCTTTCTCCAATAATTGTGTTTCAATTGTACATTTATCTGAATAGTTATTGACTGACCTGCTGTTGCTAGGAATCCTGATAAGCGTAAGCGACTCTTGATTGCCATGGATGTGGCCTTTGGAATGGAGTATTTGCATGGAAAAAATATAGTGCACTTTGATTTGAAGAGTGACAATTTACTTGTCAATCTTCGAGATCCTCACCGCCCAATATGCAAGGTTAGTTATTGGGCCTGAGCTTTATTGCAATCTCATACCAATGCAAGTTCTAGGGTGGGAAAGCTTTTGATTATTTATTCCAAGCATCCTAGATGAAACTGGCGTTTCTTTAGATTCACTCTAGATATAAATGGATAGATACGTAAATTTGATTCCTTGTTGGAGCATGTTAAGTTGGCATATTAACAAACTACCCTTGTCTTGAACTCTGAAGGAGATTAATTTCGTAACTGAGTTGATTGATATATAAGATATTCAGTTACTATTGGCTCAGGATTTAGGGATGGGATTGAGGTTTACGAAGCTTTTATTGCAGATGCTCGTAAATTATGCTTGGTTTAAGAATAGCAGTCATTAATAGGATATAAGCAGAGCAAGTTCTTGTGTGGATATTTATTAACTTGGAATGAATGTTCCTGAGATCTTTAACTTAATCTCTAATTTTAGTAGTAGCCTTTTAATTTCAACCTGCTGTATAACCTTAATGGAAAGTATTATCTCAATGCACGAGCCTTAATTAGTCATTATAGTAGTTTGCTAATTGCACTCCATTTGCCTGTGGTTGTCTATATACTTTATAGTATGGGATTAATGTCTAACAGAAAATTCTACTTGCTTCAAAAACAATCTCATCCAAGTTTTATACCTTGATTGATATTCGTTAATAAATCAACATGAACCATTTTGTTAGTCGTTATTTTCTTTGCCTAGTTGTTTCATGTTTATCTATTTCTTAAAGGTAAGCTTCCGTTTATTGTTTGTTTTTGGTTGGGGAATCACAAGTTGTCTATTAGTTAGAGATCAGCTTGCTAGAAATTTTGGGTCTTTGTTGTCCATGTTAATCTACCGTTTTCTAAAAATTCTGGGCTTCTTTATCCTGTGATTTTTTTTTTTTCCAACTTTAACCCATGAATACATTTTATAATTCAAATAATATGGAGTTTTGCTCTCTTGTTTCTGTTTGACGCATGTTTAATGGCTATAATAGAGTGAGCTGAAAGCTGTCCTCTTCCATTTGAGCATCTTCCCTCAAAGTAAAAGAAATAATTTCCTTATGGTTTAATGAGTTATAATCTTTTATATTTACAGCTTACCACTAGCTTCTTTATTATTTGTTTGCTTTCAACTTGCTTCTCTTAATGTGAGGGTGGTAACTTAGAATCTGTATTCCTTTTCAGATGTTTACTCTTTTATATACTTGTAAAATATTAATAAGATATGACTAGTGCCTAGTGATTGATTTGAGCATTTCTGGGGTTAACTCAAATCAGTTTCCATATATTGGTCGATCATATTTGAAAATACTCCTTTGCATTTTCTTCTCATTTTACTGCAAAATACGAAGCATAATATGAATTATGGATTTGTAATGAAGCATGAAAGATTTTATTCTACAGTTCTACTCTCTTTTATAAGGTCCATTAGATGTCATCTGCAAACTTTCTAACAAATTGGTCTCAATGCACTTTCTTGTTGAGTTATAAATATGAATAACTGATTGATTTAGACTTGAGACATTGACTGGGAAGTTTCAAATGGTTTTATAGAAATATTAACCCTTCAATATGTGCAAAGACTGCTTATATGGATTCCGTTTATTCTTGAGTTGAGGACCTCGATTGTCTCAACATAAAAGTATGATATATGATATGATCAACTGTTGAGACAAAAGTGAGCTGCCAATTAATGGGTGATTGCATGGTACTGTAACCTCTAAGATATTGCTGTTATACATTGTTTCTCTTGAACTGATACCTGAAGGTTATCTTGTTTTTGCTTATTGGTTTTATTGTTTTAATTTCTGAACTCATTAAATGGATTCAGTTTTCACACCTAGTTTTTGCTACCAGGTTGGTGATTTGGGCCTATCAAAGGTGAAATGTCAAACTCTGATCTCAGGTGGCGTGCGCGGAACACTTCCATGGATGGCATCAGAACGTCTAAATGGCAGCAGCAGTCTTGTCTCAGAGAAGGTTTGTGCTTTGCACATTTTCTAGTACCCTCTATCATTTTATTTTGAGATAATATCACGAATGGCTCTAAACTATAATAACATGTTTAATGTGATACTTAAATTTTAAAAATCTCTAATGTAATATTTGAATTATGAATATATTAATTAAGATGTTACTTGAAGGGTTTTCTAGCCACCATTTGTCATCATTTGGAGCTAAGTTAGGGATAAGTATCATATTAGTTAATAGACTTGATAGTCCTGATAACACATTAAAAATTTTTAAAGTTCAGATATCAGATTTAATATTTCACTATAATTCAAAAGCCATTCATAATATTAACCATTTTATTTTCTTACCACCTCTCAGTTATTTCCTTTATAATCATGAAACTTTTTTTTCTACTATATAGTTAATCATGAGATTTTATTGTTTTGATGTTTCCTCTAACTTAGGTAGACGTGTTCTCATTCGGTATTGTGATGTGGGAGCTTCTCACAGGAGAAGAACCATATGCAGACTTACACTATGGGGCTATTATAGGCAATTGTGTTATTTGTAAATGTAATCATGAATTCTGTTTTTGATGGATCACGGTTTGTCTCACTGATCATTTGCTTGGAATTCCATTCAGGTGGTATTGTGTGAGTAATACACAACGCCCACCAGTTCCAGAATCATGTGACCCTGAGTGGAGATCATTGATGGAAAGATGCTGGTCATCTGAGCCATTAGAGAGACCGAACTTCACTGAGATTGTGAATGAGTTACGCTCAATGGCTGCAAAAATTCCACCTAAAGGACAAAACCCACAGTAAACAACCCAAAGTTTCAAAATGATTTTGGACAATCTGGTCACTGTTGGCATCTCCTGTTTCATTTGCATGGCAGTTGGGATATACATGGTAAATGTGCTTGGCGTGAATATAACACAGGGAACTAAGGTTTTTTTTTTTTTTAATTTAATTTCTCCCCACTGTTAATAGAAATTATTCTTGCTTGATTGTGTTGCACTTAAAATTCCATTTCCATAAAAATGGTATTTATAAGCAATTTATTGGTTAATTATTTTGAAATCTTACATCACCTGTCAACCAAACAGCCTGTTGAATTGTTTGCAATTCCAGTTTCTTCGACCTAAATTCTCTGTTCTCAAGCTTATAAATGTGCAGCATGGGGGGCGAAGGGGGTATGGTTTTGACAAACCAATGATTCTGAAGATTGGCATTTAGTTTAGGACATCATGCCAGGAACACCAGCTGGCTCCAGTGGCGTATGGTACACAGCTAGGTCCTAGGGGGATCTTGCAAGCTGGTTGCTAATTTATTAACCAACATATAATTGATTTAAAGGAGTTATATCTACTTTTAGAAAAAAATAAATAAATAAGAGATTAGAAAAAATTGGTTTTGAGACATAAAAATATTTTTTAAAGGTAATTTTATCTTTAGAATACCATAAAATTTAAAAATTTTTCAAGCAAAATTAGTATAAATGATTATGCATAAAGATCTTTATTTATAGTTGATAAATAGATTTTTTTTAATAACCATGTCAATTTGTTTAAATAGTTATAATTCATTTTGTTATATAACTACTATAAATAAACGTTTTTATTCAAACATAATTATTCATTTAAGAGTTGTATTCTTTTGTTTCATAACTATTTTCAACAAATGTTTCTTATTCAAATATAATTATTTAAACTATAAATAATTAAAACAAATACTAAATCTATTCACCAATGCACAAGATTCTAAACTATCAACAATTTCTTACTAATTTGAAATGTTAGTACATAATTTTTAATCTTTTAGATAAATGAATATTATAAATCAAGAAGGTATTTCTTAATTTAAACTTTCAATTAACATATATACTTTAGAATTCTAATGAAGTTGATGGTGTTTATATACTAAACTTCAACTCTTAGTATTAGAATTAAAGATATAATACACATACTACTTATTCTTCTTTCAAAGGTTTATAGCCTGTTTGATACTATTATGGCCATGTGCTTATCCTAATAATAAACATTTATAAGAGAGACCGCAATTCTTTTTATTAAAGCTACACCACTTTTATGTTTATATAGGTAGAGTTTTCATAATATCTCAATTGTTTTAAACATTTAAATAATAGACTTCATTAAGAGTATAAAAACCCATCATCCTCATAAAATGGATTACACTAGCTTTTAAAATTTGAATAAATTTTACTAGTACTTGACAGGCACATAACAATAACTTGATTTACCTATTAAACTTTGTAATTGGAGCTTATTAATTCACAATTGGGTTCTCATTATTGTTGTCTAATAGTAAGGTTTAAATCCATTCTACTTTTTGTACTAATAACCAAAATTTTCTTTTATAGTAATTATTTTCACTTGAGATTGAATTTCTAATATAATCACTTTCTAGGCTAATATGTCTAAACTTTTAATTTTATATATAATTTATATGCTTTAGACAGGACCAAAGCCAGGTTTTTTACTTTTGAAGGCTATATAAAAGTAAGGTGAATTGATAAAAACCTAATAAGAAAAATTAATGTTAAATAAAATAATAATGTACTTAAATAAAAAGTATAAATTTCTTTTTATAATTAAAAGAAAATTTTTGGATATTTAAAGAATAATTAAAATTTAATTAATAATTTTTTGAAAAAAATAAAGAATAAAAGTAATGTAATAAAATGTTGAGTTTTAGAAATGAAAAGTTTGGTAAAAATAAAAAAAAAATTATAATATACAATTAAATTTGTAATTTTATATGCACAATATTTATAGGTAGTTAAATTTTTTTGCCTATATAAAAGATATTTGATATAATAATTAATGTCAACATGCTTGTTTAATTAATTGAAAAAATTTTATTTTAAACAATTAAAAAATTCAACGAAATAATAATTATTACATTAAAAAAGATAAATTTTTTTATTGAAAAAAAAAAGAATATCGAATTATTTATTGCATTTACAAGTAACGTTTATAACAATTTATGAAATTTATCATATCATTACAATTGTTCCTATGCAAAATATTTTTTTTTTTTGGAATATGATTTTATCATTTTTTGGATGAAAATATACTTATCCTAAAGTAATTTTAAGGAACAAGAGGGCAGGCCCTACCAACCCCTCTCTAGATTCGCCTTTGGCTTTAGACATTGTTGTCTCATTTTTGTTATTTTAAAAAATAGTTAGTATTGGTTGGGTTACAACTCTATACTCATTAATATAAATTTTTCAATCATTCTATTTTTATATTTTTATTTTTATTTAATACAATTATTTTTTTAGTACAATTGAATAAACTGAATGGATAAACCAAATTATTTTAGTACTTTAAAGATATTTAAGGATCTTTTTAATGATTTTCCATTAATAAGTTGTACTAAACTTATTACCTTATATAATTTATGTATAGTAAAATTACACTCAAATTTTACAATATTATGATGATAATTTTTATTTCTTTTATTTAAAATTTATAAAGAACTATCACCTTACGATGTGCAAATATGTATTTTTTATTAAAGAACTAGATGGGTTACCTGTACATTGCCACGGGTCAAATTTTTTTTTGTTTTATGATTTTATTAGTAAGTTTTTTAATTTCTTATAAAATTTATCTAATTAAAAGTAAAAAAAAAAGGTTAAATGGAGATGACATGTGCACACCTTCATCAGCCTATTTTCTTCACAAAATTTATTTAATTAAAAAATAAAAATTAAAAACCCAAAAAGTTCTAAAAAAGAGAAAAGAAAAGTAAAAACTTAAAAAAAAAATTGAATCTTATTAGGGTGGCTATGTTGGAGTGGTGAAAATGAAAAAAACACTATATGAACGTTTTATTTTCAAATCATTTGATCTAAATGTATTATTTTAAAATCAATTAATAGATAGACTGATATATTCTAATAGATTGAAAGAGTAAGAATAAAAAAGGAAAGAATCTATCAATAAGAAGGGAGAATTCCTCTATTTTTGTCTATCAATTTAAAAATAATCTCTTTGTCAATAATTCACTGATTTCAATCCAATGTGCATCTTGCCTTTTTTTAGATTACTTCGATGCCTATTTAGCTAGCAAGACATTAGTAAAAATCGAAAACTCAAAAAATTGAAATAAATGAAAAAATATAAAATAATTTATTTAATTAAAAAATAAAAATAAGAAAAACAAAAACAAAAAACAAAATATGAAAAAGAGCTTATAAATTGTGGGATATATATATATATATAAACACACACACACACTTGAGGTTGCAACAATTTGAACCCTAGTCATTGGAACCAAGAGTTTTATCCAACAAACCACATGATTGTTGGCCACACAAACATTTTCATTGAGTTTTAAATACTAATTTCTAAAATTAAGGTATTAAATAATAATTACTTTATTAATCTATATATGAATAAAAAATTAAATTAATAATAAAATATATTTTTATATATACCCCAAAATGCATTATGACAAATCACTCTAAACACACTTTCGACATAATCTCTTTTCTTTTGAAAATTTGACTTGTCTCAACTCAATATGTAAAAGATTAAAAAAAATCAAAATAAAGAAAAGAAAAAAATGAAACAAAAACAAAAAACAAAATATGAAAAAGAGCTTATAAAGGGTAACACATGACCACACACACACACACACACACACACATATATATATGAGGTTATAAGGATTTGAACCTTGGTCATTGGAACTTAAAGTTTTGGCCAACAAACCATATGATTGTTAGCCATGCAAACATTTTCATTGAGTTTTAACTATTAATTTTTAAAATTAAGGTATTAAATAACTATTATTTTATTAATTTATATATGAAAATAAAAAAAATTAATAATAAAATTCATATTTTTATATATACCACAAAATGCGTCATGACAAATCACTCCAAATATATTTTCAATTCAATCTCATTTCTTTTAAAAACTTGATTTGTCTCAACTCGGTATGTAAAAAATTAAAAAAAGTATAAAAAAAGTAAATGCATGGCATATTGTTGGTATTAAACAGGTCATATAAAAAATTTTAAAATCCCAAAAAAAATTATTAAATTTTGTAAAAAAAGAAAATTAAGAAAATAAAAGAAGGGTAAAAAAAAAGACAAATTTGGTATAAGTGGGTCTAACATAGAAAAAGTAAAATTATTTTAAAATATTTTTTTAAGTGGTAATAATTAAGAAAAAGTAAAAAAGAAGAAAAAAACTATTTCATAAAAAAATCTGAAAAATATTTATGATATATATATAAAATTAGAAAAAGAGAAAAGTAAAAAGAAAGAAAAAAAAAACACACGTGATATACCTTATATATCAAGTGAGTACAACAAAAAAATTAAAATCTAAAAAAAATTATTAATTAGAAAAAGTAAAAGAACGGTAAAAAAGCAAAAAAGGAAGCATTTTGTATAAATGGGTCTCACATAAAAAAATACAATCTTTAAAAAGATTTATTAATTTTTTTGATAACTTTTAGGAAAAGTAATTAAATATAAAAAATTGAAAATGAAAAAATTAAATATTTTTAAAATATTTTAAAAAAATAAAAATAAGAAGAAGTATATATATATATATAATTTAAAACTAAAAATTAACAATAAAAGGAAAAATGGGATTGTGCAACTAGGCATAATGAAGGGGGACTCTTCACCCATTCATGAGTTACTTTTATATTATGGATGGATATCAAATAGGATTATATGAAAAAAAAATTTTCAAATATATAAAAATATATATTAAATATAAAATAGAAAAATGAAATAATAAAAAATATATTTTTAATATAATAACAAATAAGCCCATATGAAAAAAATGTTAAATTATTTAAAAATATTTATTAAATATAAAAAAGAAAAAGAGAAAAATTAAATAGAAAAAGAAATAAAAAAAATTAAAAGAAGGAATTAAATGGCTTGATACATGGTATACCATTGATAGTAAGTAACTTTCAAAAAAATTAAAATCTAAAAAAATATTCATTAGATATGTGAAAAATTAGAAAAAGAAAAAAACTAAAAAAAAAAATGCAAACATGTGGCATACCCATGGAGTCAAATGAGTCCTAAAAAATTTATATCCTCAAAAAATATTAAAAATTAAAAAAAAAAAAAGCCAGGTAAAAAATAAAAGCAAAAAAAAAAAAGATGTTTGGTATTAGTGGATCCCACTCATAAAAAAGTAAAATTATTTTTAAAATATTTTTTGGTATTTTTTAAAAAATTAGTTAAATATTGAAAAAAATAAATAAAGGAAAAAACCATTTCACAAAAAAGTAAAATCTAAAAAATTTATTAAAAATGTAAAATATTAGAAAAAGGGAAAGGTAAATAGAGTGAAAAATGCAAACATGTGGCATATGCTTGATAACAAATAGATCCATAAAGAATTCAAATCTAAAAAAATTTATTAGTTTTTTTAAAAAAAGGAAAGTAAAAAGTAAAAGAATGATAAAAGAAGGAAAAGCAAAAAAGGAAAATTTTGGCATAGGTGAATCCCACACAAAAATATAATCTTTTAAAAAATATTTATTTTTTTATTAAGTTATGTTTAGGAAAATTAGTAAAATATATTTAGAAAGTAAAGAAAACAAAATTGCAAAAAAAAAAAAAAGAAGAATTAAATATTTGTAAAATCTTAAAATATATATATTTATAAAATTTCAAAAAGATCTGAAAAAATAAAATTTTGGAGTTTTTAAAAAATATTTGGAAAAAAATTTTATAAAATATTTGTTGGTATTTTTTTGACAAAATAGTTAAATATTAAAAAGAAAATGTAAAAAAAAAAAAACGAAGAAAATGCATTTTCACAAAAAAAAAAAGTAAAATAAAAAATTGTTAAATGTATAAGAAATTAGAAAAATAAAAAAGTGAAAAGAAAAAAACAAACACATGACATATGCTAAGTATCAAGCAAGTCACAAAAAAATAAAATCTAATTTTTTTTTAATTTTTTATAAAAAGAAAAAAGTAAAAAGTAAAAGAAATGTAAAAAAGGAAAAGCAAAAAAGGAAAAATATTTATAATAATATTTATTTTTATTGGTAATTTTTAGAAAAAAATAATTAATATTAAAAAACAAAAAAATTAAAATTAAAATATTAAATATTTATAAAATCTTTTAAAATTTTTATAAAATTAGAAAAAATCTAAAATAAAAAATATGAAAAAAAAATGTATAAATTTGGGAAAAAAAAAAAAAGAAACCCCATGTGGCATCTTAGTGAAGAACTATGGCCGTAAAAATTTATAGTTTGGATGTCCTATTCAATTATCTAAATATATATTTTAATCAATTTATTATTTCATTTATCTTGTCACTATTTAATAGTTTTTTTTTATATAGTTAAAGGCCTCAAAATCCACTTTTAATAAAAGATAACTAGTAAATATTTTATATTTTACTTTTTTTTCATAAAAATTTTAAAATTTTGTATATTTTAATTCAATATGAAAGTATATATCAATAAGTACAATATCAAATATAATCATCCTCAAAATTATTTTCTTTTAATATACGCATATTTTAAATTGCCTCATTTTGAAACTTGCATACCAATTCATGGATACTTATAAAATTATTTTATCATGGACACTAAAGTTATATTCACCTTGTTTCATGTCATTAAAAACAACTATAATTTCATGTATAACAACGCAATATTATAAAATTTGTGTCCAAATTATCAAATACATAAAACTTTTCACCCAACAAATAAAAAGCATTTTAACTAGTTATAAAAAATGATATAACTTCTTCAATTAAATTGAAGTTATCTTAGATAATATTTTTATTTTTTGTATAACATAAACAAAATCAACAAGAAATAATCATTGAAACAATATTTTATAAATTAGAAATATGAATCTAGCATTATTCTCTTTTTAATAAAATGTAATAATGGAATATGAATCATAAAATATGATTTTGTGATAAGAACAATATTTACTTCTTTTTCAAAAAAATTTACAAATTCACAATTTTTTTAATACTTTAAAATAATTCTCAAGAATTTTATCATTTTGATTTGATAATCATGGTTTTCCCAAAATATAATAAGGCTATAAAAGATTCACAATCAAAGCTAACAAGTATTCCATGCATATTTAAGGCTTATAACCATTCAATGTCATAATCAAGAAAATCCATATTCATGAATCATAAATTAAATAATTTACTTCAAAATTGAAAAATTAAAAGAATATATAGTTAATATAAAAGTAAAAATTCAATAAAACTCAACAATCTTTATGAATTCATAATCATCAATTATTTAGATTAGAATATAAAACTAGAAAGATAGTAACAAAAAACTTATGTTGTGTTTAGTATTTATTTTATCAAGAAACCATTTGGATTATTAAAACTTTCCATGAATGTTTTAAAAGTCAATTTATCAAATTTACTAATTTTTTCTTAAATTTTTTTCATGCTAAATATGAATTTTATATAATTATCTTTAAATTGTTAGAAAAATAAATAAGAGTATAGAAATATTAGAAATGAATTTTGATTTTAAGATGTGAAAAATATTTTTTTAAAATAATTATATTTTTAAGATATAATAAAATTTTATAACTCTTCCAGTAAAAATAGTAAAAATTGTTATGTATAAATATTTATTTATAGTTGATAAACAAACATATCCTTTTAATGAATAATCATATTAGTTTATTTAAATAATTATAATTATTTTTATTATATAATTATTATAAACAAATATTTCAATTCAAACATAATTATTTATTTAATAGTTATAACTTTTTTGTTAGATATCTGTTTTTAACAAATGTTTCTCATTCAAACCTAATTATTCAAATTATGAATAATTAAAACAAAAAAAATTAAATTTATTCATCAATACACAACATTCTAGATGATCAATATGTACTGAATTATGCAAGTTATTGTTAAATGGTTAAGTCAACAGGTTAAAGTAGATTACTCGTAGCACTGGTTTTGGTGGGTATACAATTAGACTTTCGTATTATATAAATGCCTTTTTTCCTGTTGCGTTGGGGTAATGATTTTATTATTAAAATTTTATCAAACATTCAATGGGATTCTAATTAACATGTTTATTAAAATTCGAACCTACTTAATTATCGATTCCATGAAGATAGATAATATTTTTCTTTTTAAGAATTACAAATTCCGAGATAACTTTATTTCTAATTTTCTTCTGTTTTTCATTTTTTTAATGTAAATTTATACATTTTGTATGGAATTGTTCTTTGGTCTATAATGTGGTTCTGATATTTTTGACCGTAGCATTTTCTTGGTTGACAACACCCTCTCCTCACACCATTCGCCACTTTCCAAGCGCGTGCTTCCCTCCAATGAGATACCGCGTAGCACTGGGCCGGCAAACTCAAAGTCTCTGAGCCCATAATTATCCACTTCCCTGTAATCTGTAATTGTTACGTGTCTTTGATAAATGACCAATACAAATGAGCCACGTAAAATAGTAGAATGAAATATTCTTTTCTTCAGACAGGTGGCAATTTGACATTGGGTCTTGATGATAATATATCCTACTTAAGCCTTCTTACCCTTAGTGTTTTCGTTTTCCACGTTCCCTGACGTTTCCTGGCTTGTTTCTCTCCAACTTGCTCTTAACCTCTTCTAAAATTCATATAAAAGCCTACTTTTATCCCACTCCAAAGCCATAAGCCTTATTTTTCTTTCTTTTGTTTGTTTTTTTTTTTTTTTTTTGGTTTTCTTTTCATTACAGATTCTGAAGAGAAACCAATCTTCATGGACAAGTATTCACTATTAAAGCATCAAGACACGCAAGGAGAAGATGTTGATGACCAAGAAGATGAAGTTTGGGGTAAAGGGTGCGATTGGTTTGGCCTCTTCTGCCTCAAATGGCGGCCAAACGACATCGATGAAACTGATCAATCCTTATTGCACCAGAGAAGAGAGCACAGAGAGACATGGTGTAAAAGTAAACTGAAGAAACTGAAAGAAGTCTCGGAAAAACTAGCAGGACCAAAGTGGAAGAATTTCATCAGGAAGACGAGTGGATATTGTAATAAGCGGAAGACTCAAAAGAACAGGTTTCAGTATGATCCTTATAGCTATGCTCTCAACTTTGACAATGGTGGTAAAGAAGGAGATGATTAGCTTCAGGATATCTCGTCCAGGTTTGCTGCTCCATTTGCAGATGAGAAGCAACGAGCCGGGTCAAGAATGTAATCATACTGGTTTTAGTGATAATTTGAATATCTTTCTATTAAATCCCTGTTAAGCATAGTAATATTCTTTGGTTTATTTTGATTCATTCAAACATGGAACCTAATTATCGTAAATTTAATATCAAGGTGTGGGTGTAATGTCAATTAATTGGTATACATGTAGGGCCTCTGAAATGAAGTTTTAATTGAATCTGTTTTTGTTTGCACCTTGAGCTATGCCTTTCATATATGGAAAACCCGTTTTCAGGCACGGATAAAACTCCAAGCATTCAAGATTTCAATGCAAGATGTAATTAGCAACCTGGCATAGGGGACAAAATGTTAAACTAGACATTCTATTATTGGTAAGGTCTTGAATACTTAGCTTGTAAGATCTAGATTTGAAATTCGCTGTCAGCAATCCACCTATTAAGTGATCTATAAAAGGCATATATTCATATATACACCTTTAGTTACTTTGCCTGGTTGAAAGATGGCAAGAGATGAGCGATACCTTGATTGCTTGACATAAGAAATGAATATTTTACAACGGGAGACATGAAAATTTAGGAAAAAACACTGGTTTTTAGAGGAACCATATTGGCGAAACTAAAAAGTAGACAACCATGACTGGTCTGTTTACAACTAGGCAACTATAAAGAAAATTTTGAACCATGATATTTCTTATCTTGCCTTTTCCATGGTTTTTGCTCAGCTCTAGTTTGAAACATAGTTCTGCAAACTAAGCAGAAAGAGGGAGACTCTCTCCTTTTGCTTCGGCAGCCAAAGGCTTGGTAAAGTTGATCAATAAAAAAAATAGAGGCATGCAGATTGTGTTACTCAGGGCAAATTGTGTTATTTTTGCTGCATCAAAGAAATTATGTTACTCAGGGCAAATTGTCTCTCAACATTTGAAAATACTTTGCATAATAGACATTTATGTATGCAGCTGGAGACTCCAGGAAAGTTTTGAAGCAGCATTCTGTCTTTTCGTGTTGGATTTTATACTGTATTGATTTTGACTCTACCTTTGATTTTGTTTCTTTGTACTTTCTGCCAATCTTCTCTGTCAGTTTGGTCTGATTCTGCAACACAAACAGGATTTCTTGCTGGCTTTATGATGAACGAAATTTTGCTTATTAAATAAATGCCTGATAAGTACGGTTGCGATCACAAGTTCCATTGCTGATACCCATCGGTTTCTAATTTATTATTGTTGCTTTAAACAAATTTTATCGACCTTGTTTATCCTTATTCTGTCAGACAAACTAATTTAAAAGTGGCAAATCACTGATACAGCACATACAAAGTACAAACAGAACCATGGATCCATTCCACAAAGCACCTGCATCATTTTTCCTTGTCCCTATACTGCGGTCTCCCGTGTATCAAACAAATTTTGACCAATTGAAAATGAGACACCTCAAACCTCATGTCTCTGCCTACAAGTTTTTACACGTGGATGAACCTGAAACCGTCAATCACTTAACCGGTTGAAACATTTTTTAGTATGAACAAGTAGATAATTACATTATAAATACATGACTTACAGTCATTCTTGTCCATAGTTATAAAAGCAAGAGCCGAAAAATTACAGAACGATCTATCTAAGCTACAATAATGCAATGCAGAGAAACTTTTCTTCCAGTCTTATATGTTCTAATTCAAGCATCTGAAACATAGTTACACAGATATCATTGCCTATCAGCAGCCAATCATATGAACAACATAAAACACTTAACCAAAGTTGTCTTATAGCTAGATTTTCCCATTGCAATAGCCTCTCCCTCGGTCAGAAGCGGAATTTCCACCAATATGGACAGAAAGCGAAATATGGAGTTTTCTATGATAGTTTCTTTACAAACATTAAGTGTTCACCGCAGGTTTAACCTGCATTACTTCTTTTCCAAATTAAAAGTGGCAACCAGTTCTCGAGAAAAGCTCCTTTTGATCAAGAAACACATACATCCACAAGCAGCCTACCTCGTACGTTTGCTCTTCATAGGAGTAGAGAGGTTACTATGCCAATTCCTTTTTCTTTGGTTTATAAACCAATTATTAATCTGTTTTAATTGCAATCCTGTTTCCTGCACTAATCTTGCTTTGTCTTCCTCCTGAAACGACATTTAGAAGAGAACTCTTCCTCAGAAAACTGTTGAAAGAACATATTTTGAGGTCATCAGAGTTACCTAGGAAGCATATCACACTCACCGTTGGGTAAGGCCACTTAGAATGTGATTGCCACCAAGCTTTTAAGAAGGAGGTGGTATCACCTGGTAGTTTCCCAGCTCTTCTCTTACGCAGAATTTCCTCTCTAATGTCCACAATTTTCTCCTTGTAACCCTAAATGACAGAAGCATATTTAGCTGCAGTGTACATGTCAAGTCATTTTACTACTAATTTAAAATCATACCTGTTTCAGCTCATGCTTCAGTTCTTGCCTAACACGCTCCATTAAGGATCTCTCAGTTTCAGATGGGACAAGAGGACCAAATCCCATGCTGTCAAACCTGTCCAAACTTCCATCAAACAAGCTGGTATCACTATCTACAACTTCATCTTCATCATCAGACATGGTTGCACCAGTGCCTTCACCCGGAGATACACCTGTTCATGCTTCATAGTTTATCTCTAGGTTTTGCCACTTTAATCCTTGGTTAATGCAGTAATACCAAAACAATAAATATAAATAGGGAAGGATAAGTTCATTCTTATGAATTACAGTAGGCAGGAAAGCTAATGTAGAATTCAAAGACTGAAAACGACTTCTATGGATTATGCATGGACCTCTTTTCCAGTTCCAAGTCAATAAATGTGACAAGATCCTAGTTATTGGTATTGCTCTACATTGGCCACAACTGTCTAATTTGGGATTGGCTTAACAATCTACAGCTTATAGCTCGGTAAATCTCAATATAAGGTTCACTAGTAGAGTGCTAACAAACACAATTGTGTATACAATTGATTGAACTCAGGACCAAGAGGAGCACCCAACTCTAAAAGATAGTCAGGAGAAAGAAAAAAAAGCAAATAATAAAAATTATCTAAAGAAAATAAAATTTGTAACACTTAGATATAGAGTGAGCGAGGACCTAGGACCTCTTAATGCATATATTTTGATCTAAATTTCCAAAATATCTGTCGATAGAGAAAAGATAAAACAGGGAAGATTTAAGTAGAATGGATGTGACATGAAAGCATGGAATACTGATCTTACTATCATGGCAGTCATACTTGAATAGTTGGAGCATCATTTACAAACCAGGGACAGGAAAATACATAAATAAATAAAAGATGTAATGATTACCGATAACATAGCTCCGGTAAAATACAAAAATGCACTTGGATGCTACTTTTACATTCTGCTCTGCTACCAAAACTGTTGAAATTAAGGTGAACAATACCTGTTAAACTTTGAAGTAATTGCTCAAGATCCCAACAAGCCATAACTGCTTCCATTGCATGAACACGAACATGTTGTTGCAATTGTTCTTTAAAGAAACCAAGCAGTAGAACATAATTTGTCTACATTAAAGGGAAAAGCGAGAATACTAAGATGAAAGAGGTGTCACTGATCACATATAACATGCCTATATCAGATAGCTTAAAAGAAGGCAAAAGGAAATAGACCATCTCATAAACCTCTTAAGTACTAAATAATCATTCAAGAAATATAATAGCTTATAAAAAACTTGTGGATTGACATAGTCTGTATGCAACTATGGGAAACAGAAGTGGACAGGGAAAATCTGATATCACTTATTCCACAGATTACATAAGGCACGTCGACACTTAAAGATATCTCTAAATGATTTTTAGCAAAAATGGACAATAAACCACTATGAGTTATCATTTTATGCAACACCAACAGTGACATATATCATATCTCATTGACAAGTACTAACCCAGGCCTGATTTCAGATTCACAATTAAAACACCAGCTGAATGCCCCCCACATTTTCCAGGACAAGACACTGTCAATGACTAAACAAAATTTTAATTCAAAAAACTTCATATGAAATAATATCTTCTATCAATTTATGCTAAAACCAAATACCTTAGAATAGGAACGATGCTTATGCAATTACACTTTCATAAAAAATTAACGTGATGGTTCCAACAGTTTCAAGTTTGATAAGATCTTTAATACAATTGTCTCTTCAGCTTTCTTTCTCTTTAAGAATTATCTACATGATTCATTTTGCATTACTAACTTTCAAACGCATTACATATAGTAAAATCAAGGTTCAATGTCCTATCATGAAGTCTAAAAGTATAATCCAATAATCGCCAATTTGAAGAACCAAAGAGGACTCTCAAATAAAAATTCACCCCTGTTATGGAAATCAACCAAGGATTTCACTAGGTGTCAAGACAAGCACATTAAATATTCATGGCAATGAGATCTGAAGCACAACCAATTAGTTTCTGCATGCAATTTCATAGCGATTATCCTCTGTTGAATTCCATAATTGAATAATCCTAGGCCTCATCATAAAGATAAAGATTATAGTGTCAAATATCTTGCTTTGTCAAATTTAACAGATCACTTCCTTTAATTTACATACATCATGTTTAGCTTTTCTTAAAAACAATGCCAGCTCTTAATAAATGGATTACCTCTTGCCCAAACCTCTCTCTAGTCTAATCTAGTGTTATGTCTATTTTCAAATATGAAGCGTGAAATCAACCTTACATGTCATAATTACAAATGTTTGTTGTGGTTGAAACTTTCATTGCTCAGTTAGCATTAAGTTCCTATACCACATAACACTTCCCATTCTATGTAACAATTTACAGAAATGAACATGAACTTTACAAGAATTGTAATGGTGGCTTGTAGGAATGCTTTCTATTGATGATTAAACTCAATATACTTTGAAAGTCTTGTCCAACACCATGAAGGCTGATAAAGGTACTATCCAAGAAACAAAAATAGTTCTGAATAATTAACAGATTTCTAATACTATCAACACAATTTTTTCTCCATGTTACTTGAACTGAGTTAATTTGTTTAGCTGGATCTCCGCAATACTTAATGGAATCATAGGGAGGATATCTGCTATTAAGAAGACCAAATGAGAAATATAGAAGCTTGGATAAAGAAATTAGGATCATTATCATCTGGAGTTGAAAGCAAGATCATGATTCCAGCTACCTCCAACAGCAATTTCATGATTCCAAATTATATGTGAAAAAAGTAGTTGAAACATCAAAAGGTTATGAATTCAATTAAATTTTCCTCACACCATTAAAGGGAAAAAAATTGAACGACTAGATTTCCATTCATTGCTGGTTGGGGACTTGCATATATACAATCTTGATGCTCATCCAGAATCCAGATACAATATGGAAACAGAAATTTACCCAAAATAAAAAAATAAAAAAAAAGGCAGAAATGTGAAGGTTGGTTCTTCACGCAAGAACAAATTCCAGAGCTAGGAGAGAGATTACGACAATCAACAAACAAAGATTCTAGAAAACACTCCAAAAGTTCATTTTTTAAGGCTCTGATGAAAAGCATCATTCCACCAATGATGCCACAAAAGCACATTCTGATTCACATAACAAGGCAAGCCACACCTTTAAGTACCATCCTCCACTAAGAAACTCCTAAGCCTTTTCAATTTACATCATCTTTTTGCTGACACTTATAACAACACTAACATAAAACAACGCAGAACTCCTCTCTTTCTCTCTCTCTCTCTCTCTCTACCCTTTTCTTTCACTAAATTAACATATAGGAAACCACAAAAAATAAAAGGTTTAGACACTTTGATTTAAAATTTTAGCTTTATTGAGCACCAGCAGCATCTATCAGCTAAAAGAACAAAAATTCTTTAGCTTGAAGAGAAATCCATGCCTGAAATAGTTACATACTGTTGTAAAATAAAACCTATATTTAGTAATAAGATCCAACTACTCATTAAATGCAAAATAATTGATAAAAAAATTGTATACTACAAAATGAAAATCAAAACAAAAAACTTAGAATAACCACTGGATCGTAACTAAACAAAGAAAAAAGAAAAAAAAAAAGAAAAACAACCGGTCAATGATCCACCAAATAAGAAGATAATCAAGGACTGAACAAAAAACAAAAAACCCAAATCAAGAAACAAGATAAGAAAAAGGTTACCATGAAATGATCGAGTTCTTCTTCAATAGCAGCGGCAGAAGCAGCAGCGGCAGCGGCTGAGTACTTAGCCAAGACTTCTTGGGACCTAGCCAACTGAGCGTCGATCTTAGCAAGCTGGTCAACAGGCGTGGCAACACGCAGACAAGCCACGTGTGCTTCCAACAACTGATCGTACATGGGGTGTCCCATTATCTTGGCCTTGCATTTGGCTCTTTCCCAGTGGTCGACGTCGGCGGCTGAGGCTGAAGCTGATGCGGGTTCGTTTAAAGCAAGGGTTTGCATATCTATGGTGTGGTCGGAGACAAAACCATCCAAAGCCATGTTTAAGGAAACTGAAAAGAGCTTTAAGTTGATTTTTAGTAAAGAAGAAGATAAGGGGAGAGACTGTTTTGGGTTTGGTGAAAAAGGAAAAAGGCAAGCGCTGTTGTTGGAGGATTGTGTAATAAAGGACAAAGAGGGATCTATGATGCAGGGGAACAACCATTGACGTTTGAGTTAAATTTCTATGTCTTTGGTGGTTGATTTGGTTGGCTTTTTTTTGTCTCTTCTGTTTCACCACTTTACCTACTTTTTAAATAAACTTTAGCTCATTCTAATTTCATCAAAATCATATTAAAGAAAAACAAAAATTACCCCCTCAGTCCTTTTTTTTTTTATTAAGTATCTCAAAATATATTTTTTTAATATTTAATATTCTTTTTTTATATTTTAAATTATTTTTTAATTTTTTTATTTATTACATTAAAAATTATGAAATTTTAATTGTATACAAAATTTAATTTTAATATTAAATATATTAAAGTCGAAATTTTTTTAATTTTTGTAAAAATCAATACATTTCAAATATTTTAAAACAAAAAAAAAATACGTAATTACTAAAAAAAGTAGACACAAAAATTTAAAGTTCACTAAAGTTGATTTATATAATTATTTTAAAAATATAACGGTCATTTGTTTAAATTTTAATAATGTAATTTTTTATCCTCATATTATTTTTTTATATTATTTTTTTTAAAAAAAATACACAGATATCATGTTTTAAAAAATTTTAAAATTTTGCTTAAATCGTACAATATGTGGGTTTATCCTATATTTGGACCATGATGAGACAAATTTATTATCTATAAGTACATATAAATGTAACCTACCATTAAAATGACAAATTTACCCTTCTAATTTTTGACTAATTGCTTGATATGTATCCAAAAAGATGATAATATCCTCTCACGTAATCGATAAAAATACTCTTTTGAATGTAAATTACTATAACTTCTTCATTTCTTAAATAAAAATATCTTTGTTATAAATATCAAATTACTATAATATTTTTATTATTAAATAACAAAAATACCACTCTTCTAAATATAAAATTACTATAATACTATTATGTCATAATTATAAAGATATCTATTTTATAGTATTGGATTGAAATTATTATAATATCCCTTCAACTATAATTATAAAAACTACCTATTATCATTATAAAAAAAAATTATTATAATATTTTTTTATCATAATTATAAAAATATCATTTCATTAAAATTAATCAAAATAATTATAATATTTTTATTATAATTACGAAAATATCCTTATAATTAGTTCAAAAAAAATAGACGTTCGCCATTTTATTTAAAAAATTATAACTATATAATGAAAATAAACTCATTTTAAAATGATAATGATACCCTTCCAATCGTTTGCTTATTGCTTGACACGTGCAAAACTTTAATGCAATACCTTTTTTTTTTATAACAAACCAAAATTTCATTATAAATAATCATAATGTATTTTTAATTACTCGACATTAAATGCACATGTACAAATTTATTATAATACCCCTATTATAATTAATTAAAATTATTATAATATCTTACTTTTTATAATTATTAAAATATCACAGTATCATAATTGATCAAAATTATTATAATATTTTTTTAGCTATATTTACAAAAATACTTTCCACTTATTATTAATCAAAATTATTATAATGACCTCTTACTATAATAAAATTATTGGTTTTTTCTTTAAAAAAATTAAGTTGAATGGGTGATGATATTTGTGGCCTTTGATTTTGGGCAAATGATTTAAATTTGATAATTAATTAATATTGATAATAGATAAATATTATGTCAGTAAATTGAATTGTCATGTATGTATTATTGAATTTAGATTTAATTTATATAATTTTTTAAAATAATATTCATTTTTAAAAATAAAAGCTAACATCTATCCAATTGTAATTAGATGACACAATTAGAATATCAGTTTTTTTATTTTTTTAAAAGATTATATTTTCTAAAATAAAAAACCAACAAAATACTAAAAAAAAAATTAATTTATATTTTAAATTAAAAAAATGTATATTCCATCAAAATAAAAAAAAATTGCAACCCCGGCATGACCGGGTAATTTTTCTAGTATATGTTATTTTGGTCTTTTTTTTTTCCTTAGAAAAATATAAGGAAAAGGAAATATATATAAATGTGAAATTATTGTAAATTCCTTTAACGTTGCAGGGGCATATGAATCTTTCTGGATTTTTTTTTTTTTTTGGATGGTAGAAGAAAGAGGAATTCTTAAAAGAAACACTTGATTTATAAATCTATAGGCGGATATGCACATGATTTTTTTTTTAATTTATTAAATTTATTCATCAAATTAAAAATGTACGTGTGTTAATATATAATGATTTATAACTTTTTTGTGGATTCATATTAAAATTCAATAATTTTAATCAACAAGTTCTTTTTTTTTTTTTTAATTTGGAAATTGGGATGATTTGTCATTCTTTAAATGAGTTCACGCTTTAAATGCCAAATTGTAAAGTTAGAAGAAAAAAATTTAGAGGTTAAATATAAAAATAATCTTTAAATTATATATTTTTTATCAATCTAGTATATAAAAAATAAAATTGTCAAATTAGTATTTAAATTTTAATTTTATATCACGTTGATACTTCAAACTAACATCATTAATCCAAAATACTAATGTGGTATGAACATTTGATATATGTAAAAAAAAAAAATTAATCAGCTATATATAAATAATACCATGTTAACATAAAAAGAAAATTTCAAAAAAAAAATAAAAAATTTGAAAAAAAATTGTAAAAAATTCAAAAAAATGTTAAAAAATTTAAAAATTGCAATTTTTTTTAAAATTTTAAAAGATTTAAAAATTTTAAAAACAAATATTAAAATATTAAAATTTTATAAAAGTCACTAAAAATTTTTAAAAGATTTTTAACTATATAAAAAATTCAAAAAATTTCAAAAAATACTAAATTTTTTTATCTAATAGATTTTAAAATTTTCTATAAAATGAAAAAATATAAAATATTTTTTAAAATATAAAAACTATGATAATTTTAAAATTCCAAAAATTATGAAAGTTTTAATAAAAAAATCAAAAATTTTTGAAAAAATGAAAATGTTAATAAAAATTAAATTTTCATAAAATAAAAAAAAAAAACACAAAAACTTAAAAGACTGAAACTTGAAAAAATCTAAAATTGTTTGAAAATTTTTGAAAGATATAAAAATTTATAAAAAATATGACAATTTTTTAAACAGCCATAAAATTTTTAAAAATTTCTGAAAAATTAAATAATTTAAAAAATCTAAAACAATCTAAAGTTTTAAAAAATTCTAACAAGTTAAAATTAAAAAGAAATAAAATTTATAAAAAAAATTCAAAATTTTTTTTGAAAAATTCAAAAATTATATAAAAATTAAAATTGTTCGATTAAAAAAATTTTTTCTAACTTTTTAAAATTTACGATTTTTTAAAATTTTGAATATTTAAATAAAATTTTACACTTTTTTATTTTAAATATTTGTAAGTTTTGTGATTTTTTTATTTTAATAAAATTTTATTTTTATTAAAATCTTCATTTTTTGAATATTTTAAATTTTTTTGGATTTTTACTAAACTTTTGAGATTATTTCAAAATTTTCAAGTTTCTTTAATTTTTTTAGAATTTTTATAAAAAATTTAGAAATTTTAAAAAAAATTTAGAATTTTTTAAATATTTTTTGAAATTTGAATTTTTGAATTTTTAAAATTTTCTTCTTATTTTTATGATTTTTTTTAAATTATAAAAATTATAAATTTTTTATAATTTTTATAATTTTAATTTTTTTTAGATTTTTAAAAAAAATTTAGAATTTTTTAAGAATTTGTTGATTTTTTTTTTAATGTTGACTTGCCATTGTTGATGTGGTATTAGCTACATTTTTTTACATGTTTCAGTATCTTATAAGATATTAATGATATGTCAATAAATTGACTGATAACGTTAGTTTATACTAAAGTGAATGATGAAATGGAAAGTAGAAATATCAATCTAATTTTATTTCTTTAGGTATTAAACTAAATAAAAGTATACAATTTATAAGTCATTTTTATATTTAATCCAAAAATTAAATAAAATTATTTAGATAAAATTTATGAAATTTTTATTAAAAATTAATAAATAAAAACTAAAATTAAAAGATTTTATTATATATATTAAATGTGTAAAATCTGAAAACAAAATAATAAAATTTGATATATTTTTTAGGTAAGTTTTTTTTTAAATGAAAAAACTTATTATTAAATAAATATAGATTATATTTAAATTAGTAATGATATTTTTAATATTTTTACATATGATTAATTTTTACATTAAATTTTACTAATCTATTAATTTAGATATTATATTTAAATGTTTATTAAATCAATTTTAATTAATAAATAAAATTTATAAATTTCACTTAAAAGGTTTTGTAAAGTTTTGTTCAAATTAAAAAGGCAACAGTACCTTTTTGTTTTTTTTGTTTTGTGTTTTAGCAAATTTAATTTGCCAAAGAAAAAAATTATATATAATAAATAAAATAAAAGCATTTATTGTTTCAGTGTTGAAAAAGGTTAAAAAATTCAGCACTGCAAAATTAATGCAAGCTTTTGACCAGAAAAGGAATCAGCAGCTCAGAACCAAAGGCAAGGTCACTGTGAATTTCACTGCCAGAAGCCAAGAAATACTATGATGATACCATAGCCCATATTCTCCGTACAATTCACACTTGTCGCCTTAGATTTCATTGGACACTGGGAGATCGAACTTCATCTGTACACGTGTCAGTTGCAGGGTAGCCAGGGGACCACGCCACGCAAGCATAAGAAAATGAACAAACTTTTTTTTTCTTTTTCATAGAATTATTACTGGAAGTCAAATTATGAGATTGGTTTATTTATTTATATAAAAATTAAATTTTAATTTTTAACAATAATTAGAATAAATTTAATTATTGTACAAATAACATACTTAGCTAAAAAATAAAAAAAAATTGCATTAATCAGTTGTTCTTATATGTTGCCACGGTCAAATAGAATGAAAAAAAATCATCATTATAGTAGTATCTCTCTCCCTTTAATTTTAAAGTATTAGATGCATATGTTATAGATATTAAGTAATTTGACATGATTAAATTTGTAATTTGTCTGCTAGCAACAAGAGTAATAGTATTTTCTTTATCAATTACTAGAAAAATTAGTGGTGGTAATGGGAATCATTCAAAATTGGA